GAATTCACTTATTACAATATCGACAGAAAAGACATTTAGAGAATGTTAAAAATCACCTAATTCCTAACATAGAAAATATTTTATAGGCCTCACTAAAAAATATAAAAGTTAATTTAACAAAATAAAAGAAATAACAAAAGATCATGATATCACTGCTTCAACAAGTCTGGATCACTAGGAATAATATGAAGTGGGTAAGAATTATTTGAAATTATCTTTGATGGATATTAGGGGGAAAGAAAATCCCTCTTTCTGTAGAAAAGTCAAAGGGATTACATCATAGCTACCCAAATAATTAGAAGAGGGACTACTTTTTCCTTCTGAAAGTTTATATATAACACATTTACTTAATGACATCTCAGCACTTCATAATATCTTAGAAGAGGAGAATTTAAAGGGATTCTATACTTAACAAATCAATGTAACAACCCTTGAAGAATATTGTTTCTTTGAGACAGTGATCATTCAGCCTTTGGGAATCTTATTAATTTCAACAACATACTATGTGACATCTCAAAGCATTATGAACATTCTAAAATCGAGAATTAAATCATAACTCTCCAAATCGACTGAAGCTGATATGACCGAAATTTTTACATTTAATTCCTTAAATAACTGACTGTGGAACAGACCATCAATTTCTCATATGCAAGTTCAGGATGAAGATGAAGAAAATAACACAAGTCCGCAAGAGGCAAAATATGACTCTGAACATATCCCACCTGCATTTACAGACCATCTCAATAACAGATTTGATACATTAGACATTAATGACCGAAGACCAGAAGAGTTGTGGGAAGACAGCAAAAACATCATATAGAAAGAAAGCAAAAGTTCAATAAACAAACAGGAAATAAAGACAAGACCAAAATAAGTGTCAGAAGAGAAACTTGCATTTGAATGCAGAGAAGCTAAAGCAAGTAGAAGATATGATGAGGTAAAAGAGCTGAACAGAAAATTTCAAAGGGCGGTTCTAGAAGACAGTTGAATATTATAATGAAATGAGCAAAGACCTGGAATTAGAAAACCAAAAGGCAAAAACACAATTCAGCATTTTCAAGCTGAAAGAACTGAAGGAAAAAATGCATGTCTCAATTTGCTATATTGAAGGATTCTATAAGCAAAACATTACATGATGTAGAAAGCATCAGAAGAAGATGAAAGGAATATGCACAGTCATGGTACCAAAAAGACATGGTTCAAGAGGTAGAATATGATCAAGAAACAATAGCATACAAAGGCAAGAAGTGACTGGCTTACAAGCTTTCAAGAGGGAGCCTAGATCCAGAGGGTGTGGAGGAAGGTAGAATCTCCACTGAATAGTATCCAATCTGCCTAGGTGGGGCTGATGTAATAAAATGTGGATGGGTCTCTTGTGATACAATATTGAATAATTGTT